ATTTCCATTTCTCACCAGAATGTATTTTACAGATGTCTTAAAGGACTTTGTTCAAATAAGATGCTGCCAGATGAAAATGTAATATTACAGCCTAGATCATCTCATTTCCTTATGGCTTTCTTCATTTTGATAATGTCAGAACCATACAAGCCATTTTGCTTCTTTCTCTCAACAAGATGTGAGCTAGTGTCACTTTAGGATGAGATTTTCCAAGAGGAGAAAAGCTGAACAAGCTTTGGGGAATTTGGCTAAATTTTTATCTGGTAAAAGTTACTGAGACATAGCAATGTGTGAAGATCACTAGAGGAACGTCCCAATGATTTTCTTTCTGTGGTGGTGGTGGTGGTCGTCGTCATTGAGTTCAGGATTTATTGGTGTTTATTGAGCCAGGGCTGTGCTAAGTCCTATAGACCAGTGTTTTTAAACTGCTGATCATGACCCATGAAAGTAGAGGACAACCGCCATTGTTTTAAAGAAAATAGTTGGGTACACTTCATATAATCTTAAATATTGTTTTGTGTAACATTTATGTCCTACATGTGTTTGTATCTATGCATATGACTGGGTTAGGTTCACAATGTATTTTTCACCCCTGTGGGTTGCAATAAAAAAAGTGTGAAGTCCATTTTTGAGGGCAAAGTTTTCTATACTTTTCTGAAGATTAAAATAATCTGCAAAGTGTTTTGTGTTTTAAATCCTCTGCCTCACCCCAAGTATACTGTATCAGAATCTCTAGGAAAGAGAGGAGAGGGTTAGGTAATCAACATGTTTAACAAGTCTCCCAGGTGATTCTTATCTAAGAGGTTTGGGAAACTGTATCATGATTCAAGATTCAAAACTTTAGTTATCTGCACCCAGGCTTATAAATAGCCTTCCTTCCTTCCTCCCTCTTGCAATAGCGCAATCTTCTTGAAGAGCTAAGGCATACAGTTGAATTTAAATAATAATTTTTATCTAGATCTTTGTGTATCAAGGGCTAGATGTAAGATCTAAACAAAACCCAGAGTAATTCAGAGCCCTGCCAGTTTCATAGTCGCCATTTACTTTTTCTGCTTTTTAGTTTCTTTATTTTTTAAAATAAAAATTGCTGATTTAAAAATATCAGAATAGTTTAAATATACATTGCACTTCATAGTTCCACCATGTATTCATGGTGTTTTTTTCAGTCCCCGTGATGCATCTTGAGATAGGGGAACTTTTATACTGATTGAGACCAAGGTGAGCAGAGGTGGGCATACCTGAGTTCATACCTACCCACCCCGTTACACCACAACTCCTTTTATGGGATGTGGTCATCTTTTGGGCACGGTTTATGGAAATACATTATTGAAATGCTAAAACACATATAACCTAGGTTCAGAATTTGAATAAATTTTTCTTGTGCTGTTATCAACACTTCAGCTGTTGGAAGTAAATCATTTGCTCTTATTGAGCCCAGTTAGCTTTTTTTTTTCCACCGAGGTAAAAATTGGGAAAGCCAGAAAATTCTGTGGTGTTCTCTATATAAATCAATATCTGTATTGCGCACATCAGGTATGTCTCAAAGTCTGTTTTGATTGCAAAATTTCAAAAACGTGTCACTCAGTGGTAAGACATGAAATGAGTTATCTAAGTCCACTCGTCTTAAGTCACCTGAGACCCGATGCCACCATATATAAAACTGCTTGCTGCAGTATATAACCCAGTGTGATCATGTTATATTGCCCACCAAAAGTATCCCAGTTACTTGTGGAAAAACCAGAGGTGAGTTTTTAATTAGCCAGAGTTTTCACTGTTTTTAACACAAAGTCTTCAGGGATACCACCATCTCAAAAAGAAAATAATTTCATTTGAAACAAAGTGACATTATTAAGAAAGCATGATATAATTGAAGAAAGTCAATGAATGGAATTCATGAATGCAATATAAAGGAAACTTTTTTCATTTTATACTTTGTTTTATTTTACATTTATTACTTTTTTAAAACAAATTTTAAATATTTTTTGAGAGAGTGTGAGCAAGTGGGGGTAAGTGCAGACTGAGAGGGAGAGAAAATTTTTAATGTTTTTTAATTTAGTTCTGAGAGAGAGACAGCATGAGCAGGGGAGGGTCAGAGAGAGAGGGAGACACACAATCTGAAACAGGCTCCAGGCTCTGAGCTAGCCATCAGCACAGAGCCAGACACGGGGTTCGAATCCACGAACCGTGAGATCATGACCTGAGCTGAAGTCGGAAGCTTCACCGACTGAGCCACCCAGGCGCCCCGGGAGAGAGAAAATCTTATGCAGGCTCCACACCTACCAGAGAGGCCCATGTGGGCTCCATCCCATGATGGTGAGATCATTAACTGAGCCAAAATCAAGAGTTGGATGCTTGACTGACTGAGCCACCGGGTGCCCCTACATTGATTACTTTTGTGTTTTAAAAATAAGGTCTTTAAAGATCCTTTTAATAGATAAAAATGTTTTTATTATAAGGCAGCCCTTTTAACCTGCAGTTACGACTTTTTCTTCCAGTGTTTAAAACATAAAATATGCCTCAAGACAAATTTGCTCATTTTTATTACTGACAGTTGAAGGAAGACGAATTATTCTACAAATCTCAAAAGTGTGCCCTGTGGCCTGTCTGAAAAGGACAGCCCACTTACATCAGTTAGCTATGGGTACCCACTACAGCATCCCCTGAATTTGTGGCTTAAAGCAGCAACCATTTGTTTAGTTCCTAATTCTGTGAGTCAGCCATTTGACTTGGCCTCAGCCGGGCAGTTCTGTGGTCTGCCCTAGGCCAACCTTAGTTGGACTAACTTGCTGTGGCTGTGGTCAGCTTCCAGGTTGGCTGAGGATGAGTTAGGCTAGGTTGGTATCTGTTGAAATGGCGTATCTGTACTCTTTGCAGCTCTTCCTCCAGCGTACCAACACAGTTCTACTCACCGAGGAAGGAGTTCAGTAGAGTTCCAAGAGATCAAGCAGAAAATGATCAAGGTCCCTTGAGGCTTTGGCCCAGAACTGACCCACGATATCACTTCCACTGCATTCTAGGTTAAAGCAACTTACAAGGCTAGCTGAAATTCAAAGGTCAGGGAACTAGAGTGTGCATGTGATGGAAGGGCTTACAGAGTCACATTAGAAAGGGACGTGGATGCAGAAAGGAGATTAATTGTGGCCACTTTTGTAAAAAGTCTACAGTACAAAGCTTACCCTACCTACATAATATGGGAATAATCAATAGAGTCTCTATGTGGGAATCAGAAAAATATCAATTCTCTTAACTTTTACAAATCTTTATTTTACTGGTAAAATAAAGATAATTATTCAATTTGAAATTAATACACTCTAGATGTAGCGCTTTTTTTTAATGTTAACTAGGAATACGTATTGGCAACAAAGCATTTACTGTGTGCCAGGCAGTGGCCTCAGCACAATGTATAGCCTATCACAAGAATAGGTGGTAGGAGTGTGGAGTCTGGAAACTGACTGGCTTGAATTCTTTTTTTTTTTTTTTTTTTCCTTTCATAGTTTATTGTCAAGTTGGTTTCCATATAACACCCAGTGCTCATCCCAACAGATGCACTTCTCCATGCCCATCACCCCCCTCCCCCACTCTCCCACCCCCATCAGCCCTCAGTTTGTTCTCAGTATTCAAGAGTCTCTCATGGTTTGCCTCCCTCCCTCTTCCCAACTATTTTCTCCCCTTCTCCTCCCCCATGGTCCTCTGTTAAGCTTCTCCTGTTCCACTTATAAGTGAAAACCTATGATATCTGTCTTTCTCTGCCTGACTTATTTCGCTCATCATAACACCCTCGAGTTCCATCCACGTTGCTACAAATGGTCATATTTCATTCTTTCTCATTGCCATGTAGTATTCCATTGTATAGATAAACCACATTTTCTTGATCCATTTGTCAGTTAATGGACATTTCCCTTGGGTAAATTCCTAGCAGTGCTATTGCTGGGTCATAGGGGAATTCTGTTAATTCTTTGAGGAAGCTCCACACTGTTTTCCAGAGGGGCTGTATGACTGGCTTGAATTCTAATTTTACCACTCATAAACCAACTTGGGCAAACCAGTTGTCATCTTGGGCAAACCAATATACCTTATTGTGCTTTAGTTTCCTATCTATAAAATGGGCTTATAATCTAAATTGTAAGGTTGACATAAGGATTAAATCTAAATCTATTTGTAGTGCTGATAACTGTACCTGGTGCCTGATGAGGGCTGTGTAACCATCAGCTGTTGTCATGGTCATGATCATCATTACCCACAGTAACCCTGTGATGCTTAATGCTTCTTAATTTTATGAGGCATGATAAATATAAACCCTATAGGTAGGTTCTGTTATTTTCTCTAACATATAGAAAGAATGTTGACGTTCAGGAACGTTGACCAGTCACAGAGGCAAGATACGCAGGACCCTTCTTCCAGCCCCGACAGCTGGTTCCAGAGTCTGGGCTCTTCACGCTCTACAGTGCAACATTGCCGCACTGTGTAATGGTAGCTTCCATAGTAGTTGTCCATAGGCCTTTTATCCCTCTCATTGTAAGCATTTCAGAGAAGGTGGAATTTCCCCCACTAACTGCTTTTCAGTTGAGCAGATGTACAAGGCAGCCACGTTGTAGTTGAAAGAGCTCCCACTCATACTGAGCTAACCTGGCTGGAGGAGAGTGGAGCCAGAATCTTCTGAGCATCTCTCACGAGCCAAGTGCAGAGATAGACACTTTGCAGACATCTCCTTACATCTTCAGAGATCCCCCATTAGGTATATACTATCCCCATTTTATTGATGAGGAAACCAAGGCTGCTCTTGTCCAAAATCATGAAGAATGGGTCTGACTTCAAAGTTTTTGCCACTACGCTGAACTGCTAAATTAAATGTAAAGAGATTTTATTGTGAATACTACATAAAGAGATTCTTTACTAATTGTTGTCTGATTTGTATGTTTTTGAAAGGCAGAGCATCCGACTTCTTCAAGGTGACTTCATGGTTTCACTCTGATGAGTTATTCTGTTCTCTTCACTTCCAGAGGAGATCTGTACCCTGGTTATCGCTGAGACTTTCCCTGAAGACGCAGGGATCTTTATGTGCTCAGCAAGAAATGATTACGGCTCAGTAACCAGTACTGCCCAGCTGATTGTCACCTCAGGTATGTGAGGAGAAAAGATCCACTGCTGTTCCCTAGCATTTAGTGTGTGGTTCACCACAGCAGGAAGAGCTACCCCAGAGGCATGCTCAGCCTTTAGGAATGCCTGCTGCCACTCCGGGAGTTTATCCTAACAACCCACGTCTGGTCAGGAAACAAAGGCTTTGTGGGGAGAGGGAGTGGACATGGAGATGAAGAACGAAAAAATAATGACACTGTAGCCACTGAACACACATGGGGCTATTTTTGAAGTCATGCAACTTGGTCTTGGAAACAATGGATCTGGTTTCCAGACATCCTCATGCTAACCTAGAATCATGCTGACATCAGAAGTCCACCCCTGAATCAGAGTTGCAGTCACTAATGTCAGCAGTTACCAATGGGAGAGCCAGTATTCATACAAACAAGTCATTATTGAAGCTGTGATGGAAACTTCTGAAAAAGTAATACAAGATAAACCTAATGTAACCTGTAGAAGCTGTATAGATTCTCAGAAATCAAGTCGCATTGAAAGTGGGCTATAACTCTGATGTGAAAAACAAAAGCAGTATATTATACCGCTGAAACCAATATTCAGAACTACTTGGATATTTTTTTAAAACTCAGAAACATACCACTAGCAAGGGCAACATGAAACATCTCTTTCCTTTATTTTCTTATAACTTGACTATTTTTTACTATTAGTAACTAGCTTCACGTTAGCTTGCTTTTATTGACTCACCTCTGTTATTTATTTTACAGTAGCTTTTAAAATAGTGCTTCAGCCAAGCCTGGCACGTAGTACATACAGTAGGGAACCAAGAAAGGGGCTGTGGCTGCAGGAGATAGACTTGAGGACAACAATGGAACTGCACTTGGATCTCTTGGGAAGAGTGAGAAGTTGGTGCTAGGTGGCAGCAGAGGCAAAAACAAAACTGGTTTAAGGATATTAGAATGGAAATTGTAAACGCTTCCTCATCTTAATTAAGAAACGTCAAGGTCACTGGATTGGTGATGGAGTCGATAGGAATCAGTACTTTAAATGGGCAACAGACATGCCCGGGCTGTGATCGGGAGCTGCAGAGCAGGGAGGCCCCCAGGGTTTGCCGCAAAGCTGGCTTGACGACTGTCCCGTCAGTTGAGCATAGCAGTGCTCCAGCAACATGACCAAACTCTGGGCTCTAAGAGTCTATGTGGCATAAACTGGCACAGTGTATTTTCCATTTTCATCTGGGGTAAATAAACTGAAAGCCAAACATAATCAACAAATATTTTTGAGCTTTTATTTGACCTCAGTAAGTATTTTTTGAGTCCATTCCAGGAGCTCTGCTGGGCTCTGGACAAGGTGAGGAATCCAAGGATGACATGATCTTATCTCAAGATGTTTTTGGTTTACTGAGAGTTAAAAAGTAAGTTTCTTTTGTACTGAATTACAGCTGTGGCAGCTATCTAAATTGGGGGAAAAAATGTGATCATAAGACATTTTACTTAAACTCAGTTTTATTTTCTTTAGATTTAAATAAGACACATATGCACTGCGTACCACATAAAGCCTTTATAGTTGGAGCTAACGGCTAGGGTGTTCATGCAGATCTGCGCTGAAATGTGAGGAAACAAAGCATTATTAGTTGACATTATTTGTACTGTCATTTTTTACCAACTTCTGTCTTCAGATCCTGTTTGAAACTTGTTAATAATGAATTGGTAGCTGGTCTCCCCACTTGTGGCCCCGTCAGGAAATGAAACAGGTTAGCAGTCCCTGAAAACCAGTTTGGAAGAACCAGCCCCTCCAGCTGGCTTTGCTTCTGTACCATAGAAGCACAGCAGAGTTCCCGCTTTTTAAACAACTTAACAGAGCACAAGGGATTCTCAGGTAGTCTGTGATAGCGCAAAAATAACAGTTGAACGGTAACATCTTATTTTTTTTCCCCCCCATCTCTTTCCCCTTTCTTAGCCAACACTGAAAACTGCAACTATGACTCAGTGGGAGAATCCAACAGTGATCACTTCCAACACTTTCCACCTCCCCCTCCAATCTTGGAGACAAGTTCCTTTGAGTTGGCTTCAAGGAAACCATCCCAGATCCAGCAGGTGAACAGCCCGGAGTTAGGACTTAGCATGGCAGCCCTTCAAATGCAGTTCAATTCTGCTGAGAGGGAGACAAATGGAGTCCATCCCAGCCATGGAGTAAATGGACTGATTAACGGCAAAGCTAACAGTAATAAATCTCTGCCAACACCAGCTGCCCTCCTTTCACCCACTAAGGAGCCACCACCTCTGCTTGCCAAACCCAAGCTGTGAGTATTTCTGCATGGTTTTATAATACTTTCCATACTCCTGCTAAATTGCCTTTCTGGCCAGGGAAAACTTTTTGCCTGGACTCAACTATGTGGCAAGTTGCCTTTGCTGCAGGCAAGCTGTCCCTGGCCAGTGTGACCTTGCTAACAAGGTGTGGGGGTGGGGGTAATGTCCTTTGATAATACAAAAGATACCTTAAAATAAAGAAGGTAAATGAGATGCTTGGTCAAATCTACCCTTTGCTAAAAGCTATATATAACTGGTTTCAGCTGTGAAAATATCTGTCATGGCTTGGTCTTCCAATGCATAGTAAGGATGTAGCCACCTCCTCCACCCCACCCCAGAGGGGATGAGAAAGGAGACTTACTTTGAGTTCTCTATTAAAAACACTTCCAAATGTTTTAAATTTAAGAACCTTAAGGAAATCGGATATAGATAAGCCTGGGAGCACTGAAAGCTGAGGATGGAAATTCAGTGTGCAGAACCTGAGGAAGGGAACAAAACCAGAGATAACGAGGCTCGTCAGGAGAGAAGTGCCTCTCACAACACAATGTACTTGGCTTTGGGATTCCATAGCACTGCGTATTTCCATGAATACCACCTTTATATTGGATATCCATTATTTTCTTAGGATGATAAACCTGACATGAGCTGTTTCCATTGGCACCACACAAGCAGAGAGTTGTTATGAATAGAGCCATTACAATGTCAGAGGCAGAAATCAATTAACTCAATAGGTTCTATCATAGCATAACAGACCTTGAATTACTGCCCTGATAGAGGTCATTGGAAATGTCAGAGTCCTATAAAATGTATATATATTCTGTGAGGTCACATTTCCATGAGAATGAATTTGCCAGAATCTAGGAGTTATTGTTTGTTTCCTTGGTACTGAGCAGCTTACTCTCTTCTCTCTGTCATCAGCTCATTTGTTAGAAATGTTAGAGACGTGTAGGATATTTCAATTAGAATATCTTACATGTGTACGTCACTTTGTTTACTAAGTGTTTTCATGAACCTTGTTAGACTGATCAATCAGCCAAATGAATGTCTTAAGTTAGCAAGGGGGCAGATAGTTTTAGAAAAATAAACTTGTGGACAATCTTGCATTTCAGTTTCAAAAATCTATCACTACCCCACGCTTAATTTTGTGTTTTGTCCAAGCTCATTTTTTGGGCCATAGGGCTCCTAGGTTTGTGGACAGAGGTGTGAGAGATACCAGGTAAACATTTAATACCTTTGCTCTAGCTCCACTGAGATGCCTGACAGGTGAAATGGGCTCAAAAGTGGCAGCCTTAAAAGAGATTTATACCCTGGTAGCTCCAACCCATACAATTAATTGCCACTGCCTACTCCTTGTATCTTTGTATTTTGAAGATGTATTTGTAGTGCTTTTAATGAAATGAGGGACCTGCTCTCTCGGGGAGGCGGGGAGGCTTTTAATGACGAGGACTTGACTCTTTGATTAAATGAAGTGTATCGACCATAATGGCTGTCATAAATTGGATATAAATCATAGGAGAGCAAACATGAGGAGCTGTGAACAGGCATTTACAGTCCTTCTTATCTCAGAAGTTTCAGCAGCTCATCAGCTTGTCACTCTGCTTTACATGGATACTCGTGTACATGATGGGGGCAGGCATGTCCACAAAAGAGAACTGTTCTGTGTGGATTAAGAAGATGAATAGCTTAAGCATGAGTTTGAAGAATGACACCATGATTTGCTTACTGTTAGATTTTCAGTACAATTTAAGTTACAGGAGAAATGGGCTTCAGTGTTTAATATGCTTATAAAGGGGTTACTACCCCCTTCATAAGGAAATTTAAGGAAAGGCAGAGTACCTAATCAGAAACCTGGTAACTTAGAAATAACATCACTTGTACCGGGTTTTGCCATTGTTGTGTTTTTTTCCCCAAATCTTTATGTGCTTAAGTATATCCTTAGAGCATCACTTAATGCTTTTCATATTGTATAATTACCTGCCATTTTCTAGGTAGAAGATAATTTGTGATGACACTTTATATATATATATATATATATATATATATATACACACACACATATATATGTGTGTATATATGTATATATTTTTAAGTTTTCTTATGAGGTATAATACTTTTTTTTGCATCTGTTTTAATTACAAAGTAAATGCATGCTCAGTGTGCCAATTTAAACAATACAGAAATAATTAAAGACAAAGATCATGCTATTTGTTCTTCCTCTTCCATCCTGCCTTTTTCAAGTAACCAGTGTTACTGGTTCATTCTGGTCTTTCACTCCTTTATCATCATCATTTTTTTTTGAAAGGTCTTCTCGCTGTTTTTAAATGTTGTATCCATTGATAGAGGAATGCTCGATCATTCCACTGAATGACATCTGTGAATAATTTAGAATGGCATTGAAGTTATTGACCATGACTACAGGTAACTACCGAGTAAAATTCTTACATGTATCATTCTCTTTTTGTACGTTGGGAAAACGAAATTTTTCCTCTTATGCTGGGCAGTGAAAAACTATGCATCGCTCTAATCTTTTTCTATTAGCCTGTGATTTTTTTTTTCCCTTTTGTGAAAGGAAAGGCTTCTGTTTTGGGGCTTTATGGCATTTCATTCTTCTGAACCCTTCATAATCAAACAAATAGGAAACAATTAGGAGGGGGAAAATAGGAATTAAAACATTTACTTTGGCAATGCACTAACCTGAAAATCTCCTCTGACTTATCAGATTCCTGAGGAAATATCATTTTCTTTTTTTTTTTTAATTTTTTAATGTTTATATTTTAAGGGAGAGAGAGAACAGGAGCAGTGGAAGGGCAGAGAGAGAGGGAGACACAGAATCCGAAGCAGGCTCTCAGCTGTCAGCGTAGGGCCCGATGTGGGGCTTGAGCTCACGAACCATGAGTTCATGACCTGAGCTGAAGTCGGATGCTCAACTGACTGAGCCACCCAGGCGTCCCAGAAAGATCATTTTCAAAAAGAAAGTCTCTTTGCATTTTTTTCTCTCAGTAGTTCCAATACTGATCATGAGAAGAAAAAAACAAAGACTAAAAGGAAAGGATAGAAATGTCATGAATTCTTTTCTTTAGCAAGATCCAACCGCCATCCCCTGTTACCCAACAGAAGTCCTCACCAATAGCTTTGCAACCCTCCCAGACCCCTAGCTGAGTCCTTCCCACCGGTCCTGAGAATGAGTTTCCTGGCTCAGTGTCATATTGGCATCCACTTGAGTTTCTGCATCTCTCAATGTCTTTGTCTCAGATACCGTCCCTCAAGTAGAAGTTTAACATGATTCAATATAGGCCATTCAGCAAGTGCCAGATACTATACACACTGCATTTGTGGCATAACTGACCACCTGCTGTGGGGACAGAAGTGCACTTAGAATGCTACACAGGAAAAAAATTCGTAAATGAGAGTTATTTGTGTGACTGAGCATCTGCTACTCATAATCTTCTGTCACAATGCAAAGAAAAGAAGCAACTTGGTGCTTAAGTAATATTTCTTATCAGAGAAAAAGAGAAAGGAATAAATATAAACCTAACTTATATACTGTTTGTTACATTATTTTCCTTGTTCAGAGTGCGTCAGATAAGTCTGTTGCCTCCCACTCTCTGCAAACTGTGTCTGAAGGTTCAAAATAAACAAAGGGCTCAGTTTGTTAATAGGAAACAAAATCCCTGCTTCTCTTTATTCCTGCCAAAACATAGTCCTTCAAAGGCATGGATATGCATGGGGTCCCCAGGAATAAACCGTGGAGGAAGACTTGGGAATGCCAGTTTTAGTGGGTGATTTGCAAAGCATATAGAAAAGCATGGTCATGTTTTTCCACTGAGCTCACCTCCTAAATTTGACCAAACAATATACAAATAACAGGCTGTTTTCAAACCTCATTTATTTCTTTGATTGGAATATTCTTCCTCCATCTTGTGGGAGGGAGGTATAATATAAACTTGTGGAAGTCAAAAGGGAGATTTCTGAAGGGTGAACCAACGGACAAGTCTTTGTGCACAGAAACAGGACAGGTCAGTAGATAAATGACACTGCCACTCTAGTGTTAGTAATATGCATCTTGGCATGAAAAAAATCATGCCCTTTCTTGTGTATTGCTGATAAAATAAATTCCAAATGCCACCCCCCCACACACACACACAGGAAAATCATGCCCGTCGACTGAAAGAGTGGCAATAAAATGTTTTCAGAATTTTTACATGCTTAATCAACAGCTAAACTAGATACGGACTTAATTCTGTCTGCACTTACTCTTCCTGCTTTCTCTTTCCCTAGCCTCTAAAGAGAAAACAGCATCATCATTTCCTATCTGAAGAGGGTAAAATGATATCAGCCTGAATCAGGCTTTTTGAAATAATTGCATTTCGCTACCTTTGTGTCTTTCTCTTTTCTCAGTCCTGCCTTTAGACACCTAATTGTTCCTGTAGTTCTTGTCTCAAGAGAGAGGAGTGTCCTAAATGTAGTGGGGATTTTACGTGTCACCTCAGTGCAGTCGTGGACTGACAGAGCGAAGCTACATCTTTGTAATGAGCAGCATCACGTAAATCAGACTCCTGTCCTCTGACTGCATGTGTGGGAATGAGGATGGTGTGTTTGAGAGATGGAGGAGGAGGAAATAGCAGCCTGTATCCCTGTCTTTATCAGCGATTGAACTGTGCCTGACTTGCTATATTTGGAAGTTCTTTAAGGTTTCCCCCACACTGCAAGCACAAGTTGTTCCCTTGCCTGGAATGTTCTACTCCCCAGAATGTTCTGCTACTAATAGTTGGCTCCTTTTTGCTTTCAACTCTCGGCTTCATGTCGCCACCTCCCCTGGCCACCCAAACTAAAGCAGCTACCCAGCCATTCTCCAATAAATCATCTGCTTTAATTACCACACAGCACGAAACTCATTCTGATAGCTTCTTGTTGACTTGCTTGTTAGTATGTGTATTGCTTTTGCCCCGTTCTTAGAATGTAAGCTTCTTGAGAGTAGGAACCTTGACTTTTC